TAAATTTTAGAAAGTATAATTCTATTAAATTAATTTGACTGAAGTAAATTTTTTAAAAATTAAAAATTCCTTCCCATTATCCATAAACAGAAAGAGCTAGCAACTGATGAAGAGTGTCCTAAAATGTGTGCTTACAAGTTGGTGACTATCAAATTTAAATGGTGGGGACTGCAGAACAAAGTTGAAAACTTTATACAAAAGGTAAGTGCTTCTCCCTTGCTGGGATGTTGCTGGGGAGGTGGGATTGGAGGTGGGCAGGTAGGTAGGCAGGGTGGGTCTGTGTTGACGTGGGGTTTTTTGAGGAGAAACAGTGATGAACCTGCCTGTTGCTTACAGCCAAGCAATTTCTGTTTATTTCTTCAGCAAGTACAACCATTTGTGTCTTGAGCTCTAGCAATGCTGTTTCATTGGTGGTACTAGAATAACTTTCCAAGTTAAAAAAGCAACAGTATAAGCAAAGAGTGTGTGTCATGTAGGTGTAACATTTGATTTTTGTAAGCAACACTTGCCAGGAAGAGAATTCTTCGATTCTTTGGGTTTTTTTTCCTCGTAAGTTGGAAGTTGCATAAAATGTGCTGGTGTTTCTCTAGTATTTTATGTTCTAGTTTTCTTATGAAACTGTGTTTGTGTTTCTGCTAATCCTAAACTATTTGATTATTTTTTTTTTTAATTGAATGCTTACAAAACCAGGTATGATGCAGGCAGAATCCAGTGCACTAGGATTTAGTTGGCAGTTGTGGTGTTTTGTCAAATTGTTTGCGTCTTATTTCGTTACTGCTGTATCATCAGAATATGAATTGTAAAATATTTTTTAAAGTAGAATGTGAACTTATGTGTAGGCAAAGTGTTTAATCTTGACCATCATGCCACTTCTCTCTAATCCAGAGAAAATGTGCTGTAACAGTGAGTTAACCAAAACATGATATTCCAGTAGCAATTGGGCATAGTGTTCCCTCACAGACAACCAACGCCAGACCTTTTTCATTCTGATGGCTAGGACTCTTAGTTCTGAGTGGACCACAGAGCTAACTGCATTAAATGCTTATGAATTTCAATAAATATGATGGCAAAAGAGAAAAGCTTCAAACAGTAGTAATTGAAAATGAGATGGAGAGGTAGTTTGTGATGGCCACAGTACAAAGTAAGGATAAGGAGACATTGGAGACTCTCTTTAATGTGGTGGTGGTTCTGGGAAGGAATTGCCCATCACACATTTCAAACTGAACACTGTTAGGGAATAAGCTGAGCAGAAGAGCCAAGATTGGTTCTGTGGTCTAATGAGGAGTATTTGAAGATAGGACTTTTGTTTTTTTTTTTTAACCTTGCTTTACCTGAAGCTGATTCTTTAGAGGAAGTTATCTCTGTCTGCTAGCTGTCAAGAACCGTATGTTAGATTTAACCAGCATTGTTTTTGAGGACAGTCAGCAGCTTAAGCGATGCAAAATCTGGGAGCAAATGAACAAGATGTGAACTTCAGGTGGCAACTTGGGTAACTGAAGAACATGCAGAAGTCTGAGTTTTAGTAGTAAAATAGATTTCTGTGTTGTATATATGTGACTACTTTTATCAGAGTGCTCAGAAGCAATACTCGTAATTTTGCAGATTGAAGTTTTATATGATGCATCTTTCATCATCCAAGTCACCATTATAAAAGTTGAGATTCCAGGGCACTAGAGATGGACTGAGCTGGCAAGTTGCAGTTCTTCAACATAACACAGGGAGGTTTTGGGGCTGGCAGGTATTTTGAAATGTGAAACCTACTGATTTAAGTAGAAGAGGTACAGTGAAAATATTCTTACTGTGATTGATTCAGAACACAGCTATGTGTGATTTAACAAAACAGCTGTGGAATCCTTAGCTTGAATATTTATACTTTCAAGGTTTTTGTACCTTTGAAATTGCATGTCAGATATTACTGGGATGCTGATTTGGTACAAATCGCAAGTGTGCCATCTTTGGAGTCAGACATACTTCCCTTTTTTGCTTCATTCTGGCTTTAGGAATTGGCCATTCTTGGTTTTTAATAGCGAGCACAAAACCTGTGACAGTTCTGTCATAGATTTTTATACAGTTCATGCTAAATATTCTAGCTGTTGTGATGCTACATTTATTCTGTCTAATGCCATCTTGGAGCTAGAACGGGTTTTAAAAGGATTCTTCAGAATTTTCAAGTAACATGAATTGCTGAACTTTCTTGAAACTTTTTTTTTATACTGAAATTTGTTAACTTTTTCCATGTTAAAGCATGTGAGAAATGAGATGACTTTAAATTGGATCGAGGAATGTGAGAAGGCTGAACCTGTAGCAATGTGAAACAGCATGCACCTAAAGATTATAACTTTTCAAATTGAACAGCTGCAATCACTTCACCAGTCTTTGGCAAAACGTAGGCCTATTAGCTAATGTTTGTTTATCTTCTTAAAGCAAGAAAAAAGGATATTTACCAACTTTCATCGCCAGTTGTTCTGTTGGATTGACAAGTGGATTGATCTGACTATGGAAGACATTAGGAGAATGGAGGATGAAACCCAAAGGGAGCTGGAAGCAGTAAGAATGCTTTTTTTTAAGGTTGATGTTTGTGTGCTATCTGCCTGTAGATACACTGTTTATGTGTTCGGGAATTGACGCAAGTTACGTTGTGTCCATCCCCTTCTGTGTGTTTGGGCAATTGCTGATGAACATTACAGCCCCTTTAGTGATTCTCCTGTGCAGACCCATGCACTTCAAGCTTCTGCATACTGTGTTGTGTCAAGCTGGAAGTGGCTGTAAGGTAAATATTTCTGATGTTACTAAATCCAGAATGTCTGCCCTGACCACCTCTTTATTTATGGTACCATACTCATTGCACAAAGTCCCGTGCAGTGCCTTTTTACCACTTGTCAGTCAGAATTCAGAGCTGTCATCTTGCTTTCCCATCACGTGTCTTGCTTTCTTTCATTTCTAATCATAATTAGATCTGATTACTTTTTCTCTTCAAACATGTCTTCAAACAAGCTTGAATATGTCACACAACAGCTATTCCGCTCATCCTGATAGCACACCAAAACTGAGAATTTTACTTGCAAAAAGGAAGTCAGTAAAATTAACAGGCTTGAGATGGTGTCAATTTTCATGCTTTAGTGGCTGTGAGGACCAGATACGTATAGCCTGATCTGTCTTTGAACTGATGTCTAGAAGGAAACTCATCCATAGGGCACTTTCTCTTTCCTTTAAGAGGTAGAGGAACATCACAGGCTAGGCAGGAAGCCGCCTTCTGTAGTGTCTTTCCAGAGCGTGACCTTTTGGCATGAACCTTTCTCATTTTAAATCCTGCTGGTTTTTTAAGTTTTTGCAGTCTTTGGATTTGCAGTTCTATTTCCTTCCCATTTTGCCAATTGCTTTATGCCCCAAACCCGTTCAACTTGTCAGCTTTCCTTCCATTGTCTTGGTTCTTTCAAGACACGAAGTATGTTCAGCTATAACTCGCTTTTTTGCATGGTTTAACTCATTTCAGCTGCCAGACATCTTTAAAGAGATTGCCTGGTGCTTTAGACCTACTGTTGACAGTGGTTCTGAAGTGCGTTTTGTGGTTTGTGCCCACGACATCTTTTCTTTTAGTATCCAAACTAGCTGCAACTCCTCCATCCCCACTTGTTATGCTCTCCATGTTTGGACTTTATGAACTGTGTGGAGCCATCTTGCATTGCGTAGAGATGTTTTCTGGATTTGGAAGAAGTTCCTTCACTGTTCTGTATGTTAGTAGGTAGATGTTCTGAACTGGTAAAACCAAACTTTCTTTTCAAATAAGCTGAAGGGATTGTCTGCTTTGGCAGTTCCCAGAATATGCTTTGGAAAAGAATGATGCTTTTTCACTCTTGCAAACATTGTGCTCTCTCATTGGCATTTGGATATTTTTGATTATGGCAGGTGTTCTCTCAAATCACGTGGATTTCTTCTTTAATTCTACTTCATGCCAGAACCTATTTCTAAAACCGCCTGTTCCTAGGTGTCTGTGAAGGAGGAAAGAGTAACCACTTTCCTCTCTATAACTGATTTTTGTCAGAAGGGTTCTCATTTGCTGTCAGAAGGGTTCTCATTTGCTCACCCATAGTTCTTTATTTGGAATGAAACAGACTTCATCCAATTTCTGAGGAAGGATAGTGGCAGTGTGAGGAGTGCATACAAGGCATGTATTGGAGAGAGTAAGCAGCACTTGACACACCTATGTGCATGAGAAAATTTCCCTTTTGGGTCTCTGTGGACTGTGGATGTTTGTCTTGCAGAGAAAGTTCTGTTTCACATTTCTCACTGGTAAGTAACTTATTTAAAATACTTTTGGCAAAATATTTGCTGCTTTTTAGTTCTTACCTTAAGCAAAAACCAGATCACGTGTTTTTGGGCATAACGTTTATCCTCATTCTTAAATATCAAACGTATTTAATTACTATTTTCTTGTTTTGCAAAGCAATGCAAATAGTTTATTTCAAATAGTTTGTTGTGTAAGATGTTAGCATCAGCGTATTACTTGTTGAAAAAGTCAGTTTTTCACAAGAGAAATGTATTGATTAGTTACACTAACACAGCTTTTCTATGTGTATTGTGAAATGTGAGAGGAGTGGGGACCTAATACTGTTAAAATATTTTGTTTTTTCTCAACTGTTATAATAGGGGTATCTACAAACACCTATAAATGATGCAATTGCAAGGTTTTTGTGGTGAAGTGCATTATTGGAGAATAACCTAAAGGCAAAAACGTCACTGCCAAATAAAATATGAATGCTAATCTTATCCCAAATAATTTGGTTTTATGTTTCATATTCAACTACTTCATCCATTGTGCTAAACAGTAACTTTCATTAAATGCCAAGTATACCACAAAACATTTGTTTTATGGCCAGGACCACTGGGAAGTGAATGCTTAGTGATAAGGTGCTTAATATGACAAGAATATCTTCGTACTTCCATCCCTGCAGAGAAATAGTCGGCTTTTTTGACAGTGTTGCACTATGCAGTTCTGTGATGCTTAAGAACAAACAACTGCTGAAAGTAAGCCTAATAATATTGGCAGCATTACATTTTCTTACATACATTGCTTTCTGTTGCTATTTCCTTTCTCATTAACACCCTTTCTTCTTCGTGGTTTGAGCTAATCTTTCTCTTTGGATTCTGTGCACATTTTGGTTCTTTTGTTGGTCCTGTTCTTCATCTTAAGTTGATTTTTATGATCAGGATCTCTGCTTTTGTTACTTTTTTGTTACTCTCTGAATCCTCATCAGTGTTCTTCCAGAGTTTCTCTCTCCCAGCCCATCCTTTTCTCACTATTTTTCTTTATCTTTCACTTAGTAGTTTATATATCTGACTCCTGGAGATGAGGAGCACCTGTACTTCATTAAATACATGTCAGTAATCAGGGCACAGTAGAAAAACATCCGACCCTGCCAAAGCACTGTGACCGATCTACCTCGTCTTTGCGAGGGTAGAAATGCTACATTGGGTATTTCAAGCAGTGTGGCTCCATGCTGAAGTATCACGGGCTGTTAAAAATCTAAGAAGCATAATTTACAGCTGCTGTACGGTTCCCAGGCTTCCCCACCCAAAAGAAACTCTGTATACCCCGTCCCCAAAAAACCTCAGTAGTGGCTGAGGCTGGTTCTGGTCCTGGCCAGGGAAGAGTAGTCCTGGTCATGTAGATCGTTACTTCTCTTACTAACCAACAGCGCAATAGCTTCTTTATGTGGTAGCTCACAGTTTTATTTTACGTTTAGATGCGTAAGAAGGGTTCCGTTCGAGGCACTTTGGCTGCTGACGTCTAGAGGAGTTCTCTGTAGGTTCTGAGGCAAATCAAGCTGTGTAAGTCAACTGCTGGATGGAAAAGGAGAAAAGTGATTGATGCTCTGATGGATGGGAATTGCTGGCAGAAATCATCTAAATGGACGTATATCCAGATAACACTTCTGGGCCTTACCTCCCTCCTGTTTGATAACCTTGTTGTGATCAACAGTTGGAGATGACCCTTGGTGTCCAGGGTACATAGAGACCTTCTCCATGGACGGGCACTGTAATAGGCTGGGCAGGAGCTCGGTCCGGTGGCAGAATGCCTGAGGCGTTGGCCACGTAACCTGGTTCTTTGTGCTTATCTAGTACAGAAACCCAAAGCGCGTGACCTGTTGTCGTCACCGCGCTGGCACTGAGCGCTGAAGCCTGCAAGTAGTCTTTTGGGCACAAATCAGAAAAGTCAGTGAGCATCATTTTGCTACACACTTAGTAGCAAAGTGATATGTGGACTCAGTCCACGTAATTCAGGGAAAGTGTGGACTGTCATCTTCAAAGCACGTTAAGTTCTTGAAATCCAGCTCCACGCAGATATTGATAAATATTAAATTATGTTAAAACTGTTACTGCGGGAAACCGACTGTCCAAGAGTTGCAAGCTTTTGAGTATTTGTGTCCAGTACTTTAATGTTGGTGTTTCCTGCTGTGACTGTTTTAATACTGCAGATGGGATCCCCAGCCAAAGCAGTTTTAAAATCCTGCTGATTAGTGTGAGGCTCCTCAGAGACTGGAGCTGCTGTCCACCAGTGAGGACAGCACTCAAATTAAGATTCCCTAACAAGTCTTGCATTGCTTCGGTATGACTTGCTCAGTCCTGGTGATGTTTTGACTGCCCTGCCTATTTTTCTTGGAGATTAATAAAACTGCCTATTTGGAACTTACTGTCTGAGGAAACTATTAATGCTTAATTGTATATTTTCTTTCTCCACAGTTACGTAATCAAGGCCAAGTCAGAGGAACAAGTGCTGCCAATGATGAATGATGATGGATTTAACCGTCACATGCAGTGTTGATATACAAATGTGTGTGTGGATGCATGATTATTTGTATATAATTATATATACGCACATGCATACTGAAGGGGGTTGTTACAGTGTCTCCAGGGTACTATACCTGTCCTCAGCAAAGAGTCAAAGGAAACTGCTTTCATTATGTATACCTGAAGCAAATAAAAATCAACTGAGTAGTGTCATTTAAAGGATGAATTAACTGCAGAATTATGCTAACTGGTATGTTTCATGAATGTCAATACTGGACCAATTTATTCCCTACTTGTTTTTTTCCTGTCTTGAGTCACTCTGCTATAACTTGCCCATATCTCATTGTAAAGAAACAGATTCAAATAAGTTAATTTCAGTTTTGTGTCTTCCCTATGTGATTATTTTTGGAATAGGAACAACGAATGTATTTATAGCTATTTATTTCTGGATTGTCATTATCCTATAGTCAAATCAGAAAAAAGTTTCTATTAGTGGAAATTGGAAGACTTTTACTGTTGAATATGTTTAACCCAAACTTTACCCATTCACTGATTTAAAAGGAAAAAAACCATGTTTTATTGGACTTTTGTACATTGAAATGCTAATGTTTTTTCTTCATTAAAATTGGCAAGATTAAGGAAAAATGGCTTGTGATTTATAAAATATCGCAACTTGAAATTTTCCAAAAGCTGGCTTTTTAGACAAAGATACTGACAATACTTGTAGAATATTTCAAATATATCTTAGGCCATGCAGTGAAAGTGAAGGGGGGTGATAGCCCTTCCCTAAAGTAATGCTTCCTGTTAACAAAATCACTGTTTTCCAGAGTTTCACTTTGGAAGCTATGCAAATGGTCTTGATTTCACACACATCGCGCAATGGAATATAATTGTGATTTTAGCTCTTTTCATGTTGAAAATACACTTTAAAAGACATGTATACTTTCAGATACGATGAAAGTTTAAATTGTAGCATTTGACATATTTCTCTGATATTTGTTAGGAGTAGACACATAAAAGATGGTATAATAAAGACCTCCTGTAGATAACTCTCAAATAGGGAGAATGTCTTCAGCATTTTTTAAGGAAATATTCAGAGCATATCATAGATATATATTATGAAAATGCTTGCTAGATCAGAAACAAATTATTTTAAAAACACTAGTTAGATAAAATTCTATTAATGCCTGGTTTCCTCCCAGCATCCCCAGAAACCTCAGTGGGGCAAGCCTTGCTTAAGCTTCCACCTTCATAATCTCACATACATCCAAGTATTTTGGAGTCATTTTGGACCTACTTTGCTTACAAAAGGAGTGATCTGATTTCCATTACGGGCAGTGACAGAATTTTCCTAAACTTCCAGGGTAGGCCAGGTCTGCCGTGCGACTTGCCCTGCCGGGCGCCTGTCTGCTGGCAGTGCCAGGCACTGGCACATCTGCCGGGGCCTGGGCATTTGTACCTCTCGCCTGTGTAATTGCACCCTCCTACCCTCCCTGCTGCAAATTTTTTTTTTTTTCCTTTCTGGATTAGCAGTTAAATGGTTATTTGTCCTCTGTACCATCAGGAGGTTGGTTTTGTAAATATACATAGAGACATGCACACATGTGCACACACACATATGATTTTAAAAGTGTTTACAGCCAGGAGGGCTGCTGCACACCTGGGAACCGAAGGGCTCAGTTCTCTCTTCAGTGCTGGAATCTGAGTCCCACTGTCATTAATATGAGTCATAATGCAAACTGAGGGAAAGGGACCCTACAGCTTTCATGTTTTTCGACTAGTGAAAATTTGAGAGAATCTTGTAGTGAATGTAAAATGTTTAGTTTACTTTGGCAGTCTCTGGTGTGACCTACAGTAAAACAGTCAATGAAATTTAATTAAATAAATTTGATCATAAAATGCTCTGTCTCTTGTCTTAGGTATTAGTATTTGCAGTTTGCTAATGAGCTGGAATGTAGTTTTATTGAGCTGTTCAAGAAGTCCTCTAAGGATGCGCTCCAGTGATTGTGAGCTCAAACCTGTGTTTAAATGTTCGGGGAGGGAAGGGCTTGATTGGATTTTTGTTTTGTTTTTAGGATTTCAAACGGAGCAAGGCGCCTTGCCACTATCTAGAGTAGGGAGAAGATGGTTTGCTTTTGTTGTGTATTATGACTGCCTACCTTAACGTGCCAGGCTGACAGTTTTGCAGACACTTGCATTTGATGTTCCTGGTCTACAGCGGCTCTCTGGTCTGTGGCTGTCTTCATGTGTTACAGCTGCTGCTAATTCTGCATCTTGCCAATGCAAGGAAAGGGTCACCCCCCTGTGCAGAGGGGCCGGGGTGGTGCAAGGAGGAGGCTGCAGCACTGCCGGGCTGGCATTGGGGAATGGAGGCGTGGAAGTCGCCTTGCCCAGTGCAGAGGCTGATTTCCAAAAGCATGGCTCCTTCAGGCTGAAGTAGTGAACAACTTGCAGAACACCTGAGGAACTGCGGGTCTCTTGGCAAGGGTGGCTGAGGAACCTTTTAAGCTGGGGTAAGATCATATGAGTATAGAATATGTATGTATGGGGTGTGGGGGAACAGTTGGGCAATTACAGGCCCATTTAGTCTGGTGTCAGTGATATGCAAAGCTTCAGAACAGACTGGAGAAATAATTAGAAATGGAGTAAGTAATATAAAATTAATAGAGGCAGCTGCAAGTGGGTTGCAGGGGATGATTGTGGCATGTACCGGAGCACTTGCGGTGTCCTTGGAAGAATAAAGAGATGTATTAGACTGGGAGAGGTGAAGCAGCTCAGAGCAGCAGAGGTGGAGTCCGGGTGGGAGAAGGGGGTGGTGGGTGGTGGGTGCCTCTCGAGCAGTGCGTGGTGCCGGGGGTGCCCATGAGAGCGGACCCTCCCCAGCTGGTCCTCCTTGTCCAGCTCCCCTCTCCTCATAGCTCTCACCTGCCTGGCTGCGAAGGGGGCTCGCAGCTGCCTTCGCTTCGCAGACTGGTGGCTTCCAGGCCTGCGTGGGGAGGGCAGCGGAGGCGGCAGGGGCAGCTGCTCGAGTCGAGAGGGGCTTGTGGAGAAGTTCGTGTTTCTGCCCGGCAGCACTGGCCTTTCCTGGCTGCGTCACTGATCAGATGCGTCTCCTGGTAAGTTAGCTGGCCTCAAGATGAGGAGCAGGAGCTCGCTAACGCTGATTAAAACCATTGTTCCACAGGATGAGAAATGTAGAAATGGACCGTGGGCTGCCAATCTGCTGAAGCTGCTGGATTTCAGAAAGCATTTGTGATTTTTAAAAGTTTTTTTTAAAAACACGTAGTCATTGTTAGGTAGCGTGGGGTCCTCTTTCTCCCCGATCAGGCCCCAGTAGGTGCTGCAAGAGCTGCAGAGTGGAACAAGAAGAGACTTTGTGCTCAGTACGTACCGGACAGAAGCTTGCCTCTCAGTGCCCTGTTGGAAGCTGGGTCTGGTCTCCCCTCCCTGGCTTCAACTTTCTTATAATGGAGCATCCCAGTACCGACCTAGTCTTTATTTCAAGTATTTAAAAATAACCTAACTGCTGGAGTGAGGAAGAGGTGATCAGAATTGTGGCAGGAAAAATACTCTGTTCAGTCATATAACTGATAAATTACAGAAAGGCTTGAGAGTAATGGCTGCTTATTGCAAGGCAACTTTGCAGTTTTTACAACAATAGTGCAACTTTTCCTCTCGGGTCCCAGTTTTCAGCATTTCCTGATGAAAGCTTGAGTTAAACTGGCATCTGCATTGCTGCCTGGAATTGTCTGCACCAAGGCTTACTCCTGTATTTTTTCTTCCCCTCCTCTCAGCACTTGCCACACATGAGCTTTCGCTGATGAGGTAGCTGGCACTGGGTTTACTGCCTGTCCCTGCTGACCGGGTACGCTCAGGGTTTGCCCCCTGACCGCAGAGGCTGCTCATGGCTGGAGAACAGCCGAGGGATGCGGAGCGCGGCAGGGGCAGCTGGAGCAGGAGCTGCTGTTGCCCCTGAGCGCTGGGATGTGTTATGGGATGCTGGAAGTGACTTCCAGCAATGCTTTAGTCCGGAGAGGTACCTCAGAGACACAGCATTTCTCTACAGCAGTGCGTGTGAGGAGCAGAGGGTCTCGCACTAAGGCTCGGTCCATGCCGGACGCGGCACCTCAGCGCTGGAGGCTGGCGCCAGGGAAGAGCAGCAG